CCCGAATGCTAATTAATAGTTGGATAATTTACGATCGGATTTCAAAATTATTGTATACGCGCGTCCCACATACACTTACAACAACTGCGCGTAAAATATTACAAGCTCCTCTCTCGAGAGAGTCCGATTTCGTTATACGAGTTGTGCCGAGGAAAAACTTCAATTTTCGTGCCGCGCGCATCTTTGCACAGTCTTGCGCTATGGAATATTAAGGTCTTGTCGCTCGCCGAGTAACAACAACAACAACAACAGAGGCAGCAGCAGCAGCAGCAGCAGCAGCAGCAGCAGTGCAGTACAGCTGCTGCTCATTGCATTAACGCGAACCAACAAAAAAATAAAGAAGACGAAGGAATATATATGTTTCCTCGTATTTAAGGCATACGGCAATTATAGGAGCGTATCGCAATTTTCTCGCTAAATAGCGTTTCCGGACCTATATATCCAATACAAGCGGACGTTTACGGGCCATTGATTTGGATACGCGCAACGATTTCAATATAACATATATATAGGTACGCACGTGTATTACATGCAACGCGCTGTATAATATATTCAGAGAACAAAACAGTGTTACGCGCTCGTACTTCTCCTTTTCCCATATTTATATACCTATATGTATATTCCAAGGGTATATTACAAAGCACGTGTACTTTTTTGCTCGACTTATCTCTCTTATAGCTTCTATTTTTAAACGTTTCTTCTTCTTCTACTACTCGTCTCTCGCTCTTTTTTTTTACGGTTGCATATTAAATGCCTCGATTGAGAGCTCTTTGTGTGCGCGTGATTATAAGCGATATATAATGCTTCGTTGTTCAAAGTTCTGCTGGTACGTACATATGTGTGTGTGTGTGCGCGAGCACGACTCGATGCGGAAAATTTCATTTTTTTTTTCATAGCTACTCGCAAAAAATTCATTATTCGCCAAAGAAAATCATTGAATTGATTTCGTTGGATTGATCTTTTTTTCTCGGTGTCGATAAAGACACGCGTGATTTCGCGAGAGCGCCAATATTTGTCGTGAATTTCTTTTTTTCCGACTAAACTTCTTCGGGTTTTTAACGAGAGTTTTATTGGATTTGCCAATGTTATTCAACGAGCGCAATATATAATAGATAAAGGAGAGAGAGAGAAGCTCGAGATTCGCCTCGAAATCGAGCATCGGTGTGTGCAAACACAATCGACGTACCGAACGTTAAAAAAATTTTTTTTTTATTCTCTTTTTTTACGTCGTTACGCTCGATTTATCGTCGAAAAAATATCGCTTGTACATCGCTTGTTCGACGACACATGTATATGATTTCAGTTCACCGATTGTTAACAAGTCTTAAAAGTAATCTAAACATAACATCATCGGCACCTTACACACACGCGAAAAACATGAACATATAAATGTACAAATATATACGTGTGTGTGTATCGTGTTCCGCAGAGATTAAGATAAGATTTAAGCGTTGGCCGTGTATTATATGTAACGCGTTCGAAGCTCCCAAGGCGTACACGGATTAGATTTAGCAAATCGATCGCGACTTTGCAGGTACAAATCGCGCCTCGATAATACATGATTTTTTTTTCTCTCTTTCTTTCTTTTTTTTTTGTCGTAATCAAAAGTCCAATAAAACTTGTCCGAGGACTCAAACGCGTGTAAATAGACGCGACAGAAGCGGCAGCAGCAGCAGCAGCAGCAGCGACAACAGAGACACTATACATATATCGACTGCAGCGAGCGCGCCTTTGTGCAGGCAATCTTACTCGCGCCGAGCGCTGCACGGCTGCATCGGTAAGGTTTCGAACCCTCGCGCCGAGGTAAACGTACTTGCTCGAGCATAATGTATTTATGTGTGTGTGTGTGTGTGTGTGTGTTTGCAGCTCGCATTAACCCAGAATACGCGTCGCTGAATAAATATGCCTCGTTTCGACGACAGCGGGTTTAATTCATTGGAAGATGATTTTTTTTTTAAGCGTATATGTATGTGTTTGCGCTCCTTATCAATCGACTCGCTTCAGATCGGCGAATAATAATCGAACTAATGAAGCGCAGCCAATTGCGCGAAATCTTTTCTCGCAGATGTGTACAGTATTATTAAAGAAAAAATTCTCGCCTCGAATAAAGATAAACATTCTTCTGCTCCGATATCGACGATTTTATTGTTACTTTTTTTTACCTTTTTCGTCATTTATCGGCAAAAGATTTTTTTCGACTTACCGTGTCGTGCCGAAAATCCGTCCAAACTTGATCACCATTATTGCGTCAGTTCTATCGTGCGTTCTGCGATGCCGATGCAAAGAAAAAGTAGATAAACTGCTTATTATTTATAAAAAAAAAACTTGTGTTATCGTCTGCAAAGACGAGTCTATTATAGAAACACCTGTTTGTGCTGCTCGCGATATACGTATGCACGCGAGACATTTTTATTAATGATATAAATAGAAGAGAGGCGCAACAGGATTCCTACAATATAAACGTTTGTTTGTTGTCGGCTGATTTTTTTTTTTTGCATCGAGCCAATCGAAGATGCAATTTGCACACGAGAGTAATGATACGGCATTGAGAAATGATTTACCCGATACGACGACGACGACGACGACGGTGGCGGCGCGACGACGAAGACGACGGAATCGATAAAAATATTACAAACCAGTATGAAACGCGCGATAAACTTCTTCGTTTTCTTATTCTTTTTCTTTTCTGTCTCTCGCTCGCGCGCGCGCGCCTCTTTTATTAAAAATATATATGTCGAAATGGAAGAATGAAGAGAAAAAAAAAGGTAAATCACGCGGTTTTTTTTACAAGACACTGCGCGAAAACAATACGTATACGATACCGCGAGCGAGTCGAGTAATTCAACCGCTAATAAATAAATACATCATGTGTGTGTGTGTGTGTGTGTACTAGCACACATACACACTCCAAGAGATAATATACGTCTTCGTACTGTTCTTTTTTAATGCGTTGCGTAACGCATCGTCATATAATAACGAAGGTATATATTCGAGCCTCGCACGAGAGACGCCTGTATCCTCTCTTCTATTATTTTTTTCTTCTTCTTTATTTTTTACGAATGTCTCGCGCGATACTACGCGGCCGCAAGCGTCTAATTCACTATATATTACAAACACTTTGATATCTAAATCAAAGGTGTGTAACGCGCGCGAGAACGATGAACCGTCCGCTGCCGTGCCGCCGATTTTTGGAGGTGGATATATATGATGTACGCGAGCGATCGACTTTCTCCCATCGCGTCTTGTTGTGTTGTATATAAATATACAATAACACGTGTCTATAGATACCGCGAGAGTTCAAACTATATCTCTATGTATCATTGCGGAGACGTTCGTCGCGTTGTTTTCTCTATCTCTCTCCCTTTTCGAGAGCTAGAGAGAAAGAGAAACGAGAGTGAAATTCTCTTAAGCGAATTATCGAACGATTAGGGTCGTTCGTTTGTCGTGTGTGTGTGCATTGCTATACACACACACGACGATACATAGGTATACACTGCTAGCTATGCCTGCTAATTGCGTGTATTATATATTACATATGTATAAACTGCGACGCTCGCGAGAGCCTAGCCACGTGATGCGCGCGGCTTATATATATAGATGCCAACTACTTAGGAGCTCGCTCCGATGTTTTTCCATCTACTTCTTCTTCTTGTTTCTTTTTTTTTTTCTTTCTTCGCGCGCTTCGGTTCTCGCCAATTAATTTTCCAATGACGCGCGCGTACAGCCTTTGCTTTAATCTCGATGAAAAAAAAAAAGAAAAGGACGATGACGACGATGCACGCGGCTAGGCTCGTGATTTAATCGGGTTTATCATTATACGCTGTGCTCCGAAAATGACAATAATTCAGGCGAAATTATCGCGTATTATATAAAATGTATGAGAGTTGAGCGCGAGGGGGAGAGCTCGATGTACACACGAGCTAGCTGTCTTCTATAATACGCATAGTAATAACTGCACCTGAAGAAATCGATCGCTCGCGTATATACATATAACATAAACGCACACACATCGGAGCACGCAGAGGGTTCATCGTCACGCACACATTTCGATATAAATAATGCACACACACCCTTATATATTTCTCTGCTATATTGATTGTAAACAAGCAAAAAACAGGAGAAAACTGTCGATCACTTCGACACACTCACACAGAACACCGATTCACATAATTTCGAAAATTCACTCGCACGGACACTATCAAATACTTTGGCGTTGTGCACACTGCACTCACACGGCAGTGCAGAATTATTATATATATTACGACGAAGACGACGACGGGCGCGCGAGCGAATGAGAGCCCGGCACAGACAACGGCAACTGCCTCGGCGAGAGGGTTCGCGAATATATATACAGAAACAGAGAGACAGCAATGCTGCGGCGCGGTAGTACGTCAGGCGCGACGACGACTACGAAGCTGCTGCTGCTGCTCCGCCATTGACCGTTGCTGCTTACTGCTGCCTACTGCTGCTGACTAACGACATAATGTTACGCATGTGTGTCTGACGCGCCTCGTGTGCAGCAGGCAGGCAGGTAGGTAGGTATAGGTATAGGTAGGTAGGTAAGGTAGCTTCGTGTATACATAGGTTGGTACTACACACACGCACACAAAGCTACGACGTGCCTTTTTTTCTACTACTTTTTTTTTACCAACACACACAAAGTTTTCTCCCCTACTCTCACTTTGACTCCGCTGGACTGTTGTGTGTGTTTATGTATATCGACGAAACACACACATAGGCGCACAGGTGATGTTTGACGTTACGTTACACATTATCTCGTCGTCATTATCTCGAGCGCTCGCGCATGTGGTTCTTTATTTATTCGAGATATATATATTATGTATACGAGAGAGGGAAGAGGGAGATTTATACGGACGATTGGGGGTAAGCTCGTATACTTTGGGGGGCGCGCCTTTACACATTTCGAGGGGTTAATTATCCAAACGCACGTTCGAATTGTGCGACTCGAGTCTACTTTATTACTGTATTTTTCTTCATAAATATTATTTTTTGGTAAATTAACGCGTCAAAAAAAGCTCGCTCAATTCAGCAAGACGTTGTTGTCTAGACAGGGATCCAAGTTCTTCGGCAAGATCGTGGGCATCTTGCGATTGCAATTGCCGACCAGACGATCGTAGCAGTCGACCGGGGCGAGGGTCGACTTGTCCAGACAGATGTGGATCTCGCGGAAGTACTGCTTGCGCGTTTTCTGCAATTAAATTCGAGACCGAGTAAATTTTTCGTTTCCCCCTTTCGTTTCTTTCTTCAAATTGGTGCATCTATACTAACCGCGTTCTTCATGCAATGCATGGCCGGCGTGACCTTCAGATGCTTCTGTATGGCGTCCGAAATCTGTCGCACTTTGTACTGGCCGCCCGGCACGATGTTCTCGATCTGCAGGAACTTGCTGGGCTCGTACTTCTCGTACATCGTCATCGTCGTGTTCAGATACTTGTTGACGGTGCTGGTGTGCGCGTTGTCGAGCGAGCAGGTGCCGTGCTTGTTCCACTCGTGTCTGCGGAACGCGTCGTTGCCCATGCCGAAGCGATAGGCCAGCCACTTGCGATTCATCTCCTCGAGCAGGAACGGATAGATCGAGGCCGCCGAGTACTGCTGGTTGGGCTTGCCCGGGCAGAATTCCGGACCCTCGTACGGGTCGACGGCGGGCCAGAGGCCGTGTATGGTCCAGGCGCCGCGGTCGGCCGGCATGTTCTCGCAGCGGCTGCAGTCGAGATCGCCCGAGTCGTAGTCCATGTTGGCGTACCAGCAGTTGGTCTGCGGCCACATCAGCGACAGGATGAAGTAGTTGTAGGTGCTGCTCGGCGCCTTGGGCTTCTGCGGTTTTTTCGTGACGACGGTGAAGCCCTCGTCCTCGTCGACGTCGAGGTCGATGGTTTCGTTGCTTGCAAGTTGGCAAAAATTAATCACGTCGATCGAGACGTTTTTATCGCAAAATTTTTTTACTTACTTTACGAGCTCGCTGCGAGAGTTCAGGATACGATCGCTGATCATCGCGAGCACGAAAATCGCTATCAATTCGCGTATCATCATCGCGATCGATTGATTTTTTTTTTTTTGTTTTGTAAAATTTAAAAAACTAGAAAATTTATTTCAACTCGAGCGTTGAACGATGTACGATCGAATAATCGTGGCGAATTTTAAAAATATTTCACTCGAGCATATTTATCGGCTAATATTTTACTATGAACGTGACGGATTTTTATTACGATCGTACGTCAATTGGCAGAGCATGGCAAAAAATAAAATGATTTTTGACTTTTTTTAGTTATTTTACGTTATTAATTTCTAGAGAAATTATTCAATCGTCGATCGATACTTTCACTTTTTTATTATCGATGATAATTGAGTTAATGTGGCTTCACACCTACATCTAGAAGTAAAAGTGACACTAAGACAATTACAGGCAATTTTAGTTATTTAGCTTTTTGCAGGCACAAATAACGCATGCTATTTGGTAAATGAATTTTGCCACATATGTCACACAATGTCGTAATGGGCTTTTACATTATGACCGTGAACCTTACTCTTTTTCTCAATTTCTTTTTAATCATTAAAAATAAATAGTAATTCTTCAATTAGAGATTTAAAAACTTTATTCTAAAGAGCGCAAATGTAAGAATTATACATAATAATATGTAGGTGAACCAACGTAGAGAAAATTTCTATCGTGGCTTTTTATTACAAAGCAGTTGTATCACAAGGAAAAATGAGACATTCTTTTAGCCTATCGCAAATGATATTTTGTCGTAAATTATCATGATCAAAACTGAGACATTTTTTTGGGCTTTCGCAAATGATGTTTTTTTTCGCTTATATCTTCTCGCACTTGTGAATGATGGGCGGTTCTTGCGACCTATGTGTTTTAACTTTTGATGTGTATACACTTTTCATGGTCCTAAACTTTGCTTAGACTTTGTGCCTTTCATGTAATATCCTCTGGTGCCTTAAAAAATTCGATTTTACTGTAAATTTCTTCTCGCACTTGTCGCATGCATAATCTTTTCTAACTTCGTGTATTGCTTTTCCGTGGATAATCAAATCGCTTCGTCGTCTGAATTTCTTATCGCAAATGTCGCATGCGAAGTCTTTGCGACCTTCATGAACTAACCTCTGGTGCTTCCATAAATCTGATTTTTCCACAAATTTCTGATTGCATTTGTCACATTCGTTGTCTTTGAGTCTCTGATGGACTGTCTTATGGTGTCTAATCAAATGGCATTTCTTTCCAAATTTTTTTTCGCACTTGTCACATGCATAGTCTTTGCGACCTTCATGGACTGTCTTTTGGTGCCTCAACAAATCTGATTTACTTCCCCATTTTTTCTCACATTTGTCGCATGAATAATCTTTGCGACCCTCGTGGACTGTTTTTTGGTGAAGAAGAAAATACCATTTGTATCCAAATTTCTTTTCGCACTTGTCGCATGCGAAATCTTTGCGACCTTCATGCACTGTCCTTTGATGCTTCAACAAATCTGTTTTACTTGAATATTTTTTCTCACATTTGTCGCATAAATAATCTTTGCGACCTTCGTGGACTGCCTCTATGTGATTGATCAAATGCCCTTTTTGTTTAAAATTCTTCTCGCACCTGTTACACACGAAATCTCTGAGACCTTCGTGGACTGTCTTTTGATGCATAAGTAATTTTGATTTTCGTCCAAATTTCTTCTCGCAAATATTGCATGCGAAATCTTTGCGACCTTCGTGGACTAATTTTTGGTGTCTAATATAATTGCTTTTATGTCCAAATTTCTTCTCGCATTCGTCGCATGCGAAATCTTTGCGACCTTCGTGTACTGTTTTTTGGTGGATGACTAAATTAAATTTTTTTGGAAATTTCTTCTCACATTTGTCGCATGCGAGATCTTTGCGACCTTCGTGTACTGTTTTTTGGTGGAAGACTAAATTAAATTTTTTTGTAAATTTCTTCTCACATTTGTCGCAGAAGTAATCTTTGCGACCTTCATGGACTGTCTTTTGTTGTTTTGTCAAATCGATTTGAACCTTAAATTTCTCCCCGGACTTGTTGCATACAAAATCTTTGTAACCATCGTGTGCTGTCTTTATGTGCAAGAGCAAACTCCTTTTATTTCCAAATCTCTTCGCGCACTTTTCACATAAATAATCTTTGAAAACTTCGTGGAATATTTTGTTGTGCTTGAGTAAAGTCGATGTATTCTCAAATTTCTTCTCGCACTTGTTGCACCTGAAATCTTCGCGATCTTTGTGTACTAATTTTTGGTGCGTGAATAAACTTGATTTTTTCACAAATTTCTTGTCGCACTTGTCGCATGCAAAATCTTTGCAACTTTTGTGTTCTGATATTTGGTGTCTACTCAAATGACTTCGGAACTCAAATTTCTTTTCGCACTTATCGCATGCAAAAACAGTGGTGTCATTCATGCTTATTTCTTGGTGGAATACCTTTTGAAAAATTACCCAAATGAATTTATTTGAACTTGTATATTTGGTTTGATCTAAATGTCTTGAATTGCTTGTTACATTTATAAAATTCTGTATCTCAATTAATCGAACGTTCAATTCCCCATGGAAAATAAACAAATAAAATATTCTTATAGATATTACGTAGTGTATCATTCACACAATCAACACTCACACTAATTCAATCCTCAATTAAAATTTTCATTGATTAGGAAGTAGCGTCAAAAATTGCTTGGTAATATTATTGACACTTAGACACAAAAATCTCTGTTTATGTATTATTCGGACATCTTTCAACGGTTCTATATCGTTTATAAACAAATTTTCTCTATTGACAATTATTTAATGTTAGTCCTCAGCTCCGCCATTATCAGGCAACATTCGACAAAAAAAGCGAATTATAAATCTCAGTTCCATACACACGGCGTGTCGCGCTAACGATGCGCTCCAGTGCGAGTGCAACCGGCGAAACATCCAAGACAACGTGGTTGAGGTCATACAGGTGATCGCGTTTTTTTCGAAGTCGATGCTTATCGTTGCAGTTTTTCTCTTTTTATAATCAATTGGTTCAAGGCAAAAATATTTTTCTGCTTCAAATTGTTTCGTTTCGGCCAAAATGTCGCAAGCGTATAACGACAATAATAATAGCTCGAGAATGTTTCATTTTCCACGACAGATATAATTCGAAAGAGCAAGTGCAAGTCCGATGTGCACTTGTATATAATTCAAGCAGAAAACTGCGCTAGCTGTCGTGATAAGTACACACGCGCCTGCTGCCAGTCGACGGCGCAGAAGTTACAGCCGCTATATTATCAGTTGTGTCGCGGCTTGCAAATCATCGTTATTATATCAAAGTTCTCGCTCGTCGTCACGGTCGTGTCGCGACACCGTCGTCGTCGTCTTTCGCGTGACAATAAACACCGCTCGACGACGGCGACGACGCCGCACTAATGTCATCATTATTATATTATATACACTCATTTCTCTATCTCTCTCCCTTTTTCCTCGTCTAGAACAGAAAAAAAACTTACGAAGAAGAAGCAGCAGTGGAGAAGGACACGGAATGAAGAAATCGCGCGGATTGCGAAAAAGTAAAGTAAAAAAAAAATTGTCCTTGGCAACGAACGAGCGAAACAATATACGAATTAGCGATATTTACGATCTCGCGCCGTATAATAATAACGACATTATACGGTGTGTTCTCGTTCCTGCGCGCTTGGTGTTAATCGTCAAAGGTGCACTGAACTGCAGCCCGAGCTATACAATATATATGTATGTATAATGTATATGTACAGGTGCGACGATGGTCGACATTCCAGCGCGAGGCTTTTCTATGCAGGCAGCGCAAGCCACGTATCTCTCTCTCTCTCTCTCTCTCTGCTTCTCTATTACAGTATATATTCCGCTGCATATATATACAACCGCGAGTTATTGACTGTATATAGGTACGTGCGCGGGGGTATAGATATTCATTAATGAGAGCACACACAGACCGGAGCTCTGGGAGTTTTGTTGGGATTTATTTTTCGACGGTCATTAGCGGACGCGGCCAATCGAATTCTAAACGACCGCGACGCGCTGCAGCGGCAGTGTCTCGAGGAGCCGCACACACACACACACGCGCGCGTGTTTGGATTTATGTGTATAGAAGGTATATACGCTTGCACGCGGCGATGTATCGGCGGCTGCTGCTGCTGCTGGCTTTATAATAGCCGCGCGCGGCGAGCCGATAAATCGCGGCCGATTTTTTTTCCTCCCTCTCTACCTCCTCCTTCTATACTATATACGCGAATTAGCCGAGAGAGAGAGAAAACGATTTAGTGATTTTTCAACGTTTAAAGAACGTCGAGAGCTGCTATTATACGAAAACGCATCATAGGCCTCGAAAAGAGCGACGCTTCGTGCGCGTAATATAAACGCGAAAAAAAAACCAAGAGGATCACTGCTTAATAGACGCGCGTGCGTGCGTATTATCGGCCTTTAAGTGAATAGCAAATAATAATTACCCGCTATCGCGCGGAACTGGGAAAAAAAGCTAAATCCCGATGCCGCTGTGCCGGTGAATAAATCGTCGTTGCGCGTCTAAATCTGCCGTACCGATATGCACGCGTATACCGATCGTCGCTGCCGCTGCTACCACTGAAGCCGAGTCGCGAGTCAAGTCGGTTGTAGTTAGCGTTATACGAGCGATCCGCTGATCTCGCAGAGTGTTTTTTTCCGCACGCGAAGGGTAATTGATAAAAAAAAAGGGAGAGAGGGGATGTTGATTACGTCAATTAAGTAAGCATGTAAATAATGAGCGAGCGAGAGAGAGAGAGAAAGAGGGGGGTACGTAATACATACACACGGGCGTAATAAGTGTCGTTTAATACATCCCTCCGAGGTATTCGCTTACTCCCTCCTTACGAGCTCGTATATATTATGCTATTTTCTCTCTATACAAGCTCGCTGCGCGTAATTCCCAATGATTATGCATTAAAACGATGATCGCGCGATAGAAAAACGTCGTCCATAGTCGACCGGTTACCTTATGCATACGCACGCGCGCGTACGGATTTATATTACAGGTAGTATATATAAAGGCATGCGCTCATGATTCGTCGAACGAAATCCCTATATATCTATATGCATAATGAGCTTTTGATGCGCTTGTATATGTATACGAGGCAGTG